CAGTCTGACCAGCTATTTTGCTATTGCTTATTGAAATACATTGGCTTTTCAGCCTGAGGTGATTAAATAGTTACTGTCTGCCCCATCATCTCCACCACAGAATCAATTCCACATTTTAAGTTCTGTTACTTGCAGCTTCCCTCATGATTTTAAAATTACTACATTTAGTCAGCATGCTTAGTTGCAAACAACACAGTTCACTCTTTTTAGTCTATGCAGAGAAAGATTATTTCATAGACTATTAGGTCACTCAAGAATTGTTACAGAGGTCAAAGCGCCAGCCTCTGAAGTTACTGCATAGAAACAATGTCAAATTATTCAATACTTTTGCCCCAGTTACTAAATACAGGAACCTCTATATCAAAGTACTAACGCTTCCGCTGCCACTGTAGCCAAAAGAGAAAGTCCCCAAAATATGGCCAACACTGCACTTTGCTCAATTTTGAGTTTACATCTTACTTGAAAATAAGGTGAATGTCTGGACCATAGCTACAAAGGAATCTGGGACTGTGAGTTATCTAGCTTCAGTCTTGGGAAGATGAGCAACATAAGGAGGGAAACAGCCAAAATGGCAGCAGAATGCTCAGAGATGCTGGCATCCACAAGTGCCAGTTCCCACCACAGCATCACAGATGAAATCTCTGGTTTTATGTCCATTTTAGTACAACCACTATGGAAAGCAATATGGAGGTTTCTCAAACAACTACAGACAGAGCTTCCATATGATCCAGCAATCCCACTTCTGGGTATACACCCAGAGAAATGGAAATCATCGTGTTGAAGGGATACCTGCACTCCCATGTTCATCGCAGCTCTGTTTACAATAGCCAAGACATGGAACCAACCTAAATGTCCATCGATAGATGATTGGATAAGGAAACTGTGGTATATACACTATGGAATACTACTCTGCCATAAACAAGAACGAAATACTCCCATTTGCAACAACATGGATGAACCCGGAGAAACTTATGTTGAGTGAAATAAGCAGAGCACAGAGGGATAAATACTGCATGTACTCACTCATATGTGGGAGCTAAGAGAGAAAGAAGGAAGGAAAGAAAGACCACAGTGATGCATTGGTCTTACAGAGGGAGGGAACATTCCTAGGGCTACAAAGTGGAGTAGGGGGGAAAGGGGGAGGGGGAAGGAGTTTGGAGTATAATTGGGTGGGAGACATGGGTATGCTGCCAGTATGAATCTGGCCCTCACATCATGGGCACAAGGGGTGACAATTAGCTTTGTATCTCATGAATATTCATAATAAAAAACAGAACAAACAAAAAAAACCCACCCACTGTGTAACTTCCAAGATTTGAAACAGCAGTCCCACTGCTGCCTTTCCTCCATGGGGTAAAAATATAAGTTTTTGACAGTTTAAACCTGAAACAGAATGATAAACTTTGTTTATTTTTTAATATTCCTCAATAAGAGCTCTTTGGGAAAAAAAAGAATGTAGGAGCTGGCCAGTTTTTGTGTAGAAAAAATTGTGACAAAGGTTAGTAATATAAGATTTACTAACCAGAATACAACAATTGGGGATTCTGGGTGGGGCATACGGGGATTCTCTGTGCTATCCTTGCAACTGTTCTGTAAATCTAACACTTCTAATATTAAAGCTTTATTTAATTAGAAAATAAAAATAGAATCAATGAGAAATGCAGAGACACTCAAACTCTCTTAAGCAAAATTACAAATATATTTATAGGGGGCACATCATTGATTATTTATATTTGTCCTCCATCCATTAATATCACAAAACTTTATTTTAACATTAAATAAAAGAGTTTGGTTGGGTGAATTGTCTAATCTGACTAAGTCTCACTTGTATTTAGCATATCAATAGATGCTCAATAACTAACTGCTAAGTATGTGACTGGTTGAATAGATGAATATATAAATGAGGGCATATTGATCTCTTGATGTCATAGTAAAAAGAAAAAATACAAATTAATGGAGAAGCTTAATAATGGAATTATGAGCAGTTATTTGGAAGGCATACTTCTACTTGGTACAAAAAAAGAGCTATTGTCTCTTCCTCCTCTTGCTGCATGATATACGTGTACATACACACACACACACACTTATAGTGCATATGTGTACATATATATTTATGAGTTTTGTAGAAAGTGACATTATAGAATGTGTGTGTATATATATGTGTATGCATATGTTGTTATTGTTTTATATGGATTACTATTTGTATAAATATTTAACCAGGTAAAAAATTTGTCTTATTTTTATAACAAGAACTAGAGCCTCAAAAAATTATTTTCTAAAATGAGGCAAGATATTTTACCTTGTTAAGAAACAGATTCTAGAATTGTTTACCAATATTTATTATCTAGAGCTTCCTGTTTATTGTACCTGCTATTTGTAGGTATAAAATATATCAGATTTCTGTCTCCTAGGGTTTGCATGAACTCTGGTGATTTATTTTATCAAAAGGTGACAAAAAATATCATCTTCCTGCTTTTGAAATGTTTTGAGTGTTCAGTTTATGACAATGACAACCATTTTTCTGGCTACTCTAAAATTTCTTTCAATTTGTTTCTTAAGGTAAGAATGAAGCAAATAGACTGGTAATTGGTTTTTTGTTTCTACCTACGCTTTTTTTTTTCTTTTGATAGCAAACAAATTAGAATCTTAGCCATTTTTAACATATGTTTTGAGCAAATTACCAAAGATTTTACCATCCAAATATCTTTGTTACAATTATTTCAGATGTGTGTTTATATAGTTAATCTGGAATTCTGAGTAGATGGGAGACAGCTGTGCTGTTAATCATTCTGCCTGTTCCCCTTGGTTGACAGCGGGCTTTATTAGTTGCCATGGACACAGTATCATTCATTAATTCTTCCTCCCTCCCCACTATTTCCACCATATTTAATAATAAAATAACTCTCAAAATTAGATACTTTTTATGAATATGATGTTTCCAAATATGGTAAAATTATGTTTCCTTTACATATAATAAAAGAATTATATTGTGGTGAAACTCTGTACATTTTTTAGTAAATATTTATTGAAAGATAGATGCCAGAGACATAGGCTCTAACTTTACAAAGGACTTATGGAATAATAACATTATAATAATAATGACTATTACGGATCAAACACTATGCATCTGGGACTGTGCTAACTGTTGTAAGATGTTATCTGCTTACTTTTCATAAATATCTTTTAAGATAGATATTATTGTCCACTTTTTATAGATAAAAATATCAAGATTTATAGAAGTTAAGGCAGGTAGAAATACTATTTCTCAACCCTATCAGACTCAATGAAATCTTTACATAAAACAACTCATAATGACCCACTTTATGCTGAAACAAAATAATATATAATGAGCCTATCTAAATATAATTTAAAAATCAATGAGTTTTATATCTTCACTAATGCCCAATGGGTTATCTAAAATCATGCAGACTGTCCTGTACCTGGTGGGGTATATAGATCTCTGACTTAACCCACTGAATGCTAGTACTGCCCCTCAATGTTTGTGATGACCAAATAGTGGGACTACAATTTGCACACAGGCATGTGAAACTCCAGATCTTGTTCTTATTTGTGCTGTGTTATCTTGCCTCATACATTAATGAGAGAGACATGCTGTCAGGAGTTCTTAAATAAGTTTTGCACTGGCAGTCTCATGAAGACTATGAATGTCTTTTGAAAATTAAGGGGTTTTCTTTTAATACAAAAAAGAAAATTTATGAAATTGAAAATCAAATCAATTATATTGAAATATAGTTTTAGTACAGTAATAATAGGTATAAATAACATTTGAAGTTTCATAACACTTGTAACATTATATGTAAATATGTGTGGTTTTATCTGTGATAATATACTGCTGTGGTTAGTTGCCCATACCAATAATTGAAAAAAATAAATTAAAATAAAAATGAGGTCATGTTATTTTTTTTTCAATTCAAGTTCAGAGATGCTCAGAACTCATCCACGAAACTCAGGTTAAAGACCCCTGTGCTACAGGCAATGTGCAGAGTAAATTGGGAGCTCAGGGTTGATCATGAAGTTAAATAAGCTGTAGGAAAAGTGATACAGAGCAGGTGACTAGATAATCCTTAAAGAATGATTAGTTAACAGGCAGAGAAGCATAGGGAAGAGTGTATACAAAAGTCATGGTGTCAGGAAAAACCATAATATATGTGGGCAATTCTAAGTAGTTTGCATCAACAAGAGGGGGTGGAGGAAACCTGGCAATGAGGGATGGACTAGAACGTGCAGTTATTCTTAAAACCAGAAGGATTTTGCTCTAATTCTACTTGATTTACAATATCTTATACTCTTACTGGAATTTTTAGTTTATTCAGTTACTTGCACATAACTATATTGTCATTTTCTAGTTTACGAAGTCCACTTCCTCAACACCCATTATAATAAAATTAGTTTTATGTTTATGGTGAAGAATTTTCTGAGCATGGATACTGTTCAAGATTACTGTTGCAAATAGCAGATATGGTGTAAGTGAAAATACCCCAAGCAATGATTTATGAGCCATATTTCATTATATCTAGTTAAGTCAAAAGAAATAGGATGGAAAGGGATAAAATTCTCCCTTATTAACATTATTTAACTAATCAAACTTCTTCAATATACAGGTGTTCCTCAAGTTAATGATGGGATTACATTCAGATAAACCTATAGAAAATTGAAAATATCATAGATCGGAAGTGATTTTTTACTTACTTTCAATTTATGGTGGCTTTATCTGGACATAACCCCATTGTAAGTAGAGGAGCTTATTGAATGTGTATCATGTTTGCACCCTTGTAAAATCGAAAAATCTAAGTTGAATCATTATAAATTGGGGACCATCTGTTCCTGCCTTGAGGACCTGTAACATTCCATGGATGGCATGGGTTAGTGGGAATACACTATGCTTTTTTTGATTAGATAGATATAGAATAAATCGCTAACATCAGATGCAACTTACAGCAGTTATCAAAGGTTGTTAACTTATCCACGTTTATTTTCAGTGAGTGCCATAACTCCACAGATCGAATCAAAGTCAGAGTGTGGGATGAAGATGATGACATTAAATCCAGAGTCAAGCAACATTTCAAAAAGGAGTCAGATGATTTTCTGGGACAAACAATTGTAGAAGTGAGGACCCTGAGTGGTGAAATGGATGTCTGGTACAACTTAGGTGATTATCTTTATATCTTCTTGAAAACAAGTTAAACAAAATTCCAGAATATCTGTGGCATGTATTGTATCCTCATATAGGTAAAAATAACTAACGCCTTTCTAGTGCATTCTGTTGGACTTTGGATGGGTTAGTTTCATTGGCAACTAAAGGCTATTCAAAGTCATTATTATTGAAAGACTTTGGTAAGTTTGAGATGAAAAGAGAGAATTCTTTCACAAATAAACTAGATATCTTTTGTGAGAAAAATATTACCCCATTCTTAATTTTTAATTCATAAAATATAGCTTCGAAAACCTTTGCCACATGTATGGAGAACAAATAATCAACCTATGACTAAACGCTCTTTGATTTATTTTCTTCTGGTACATTAATGAAATTTTCACAATAAAGAAGAAATGTATTTTAGAATTCTTTCAAATGATGTAAAAATAGGCTTTAGTTGGCAAAGCCAAGTATGTATATAGATTTATGCTGGCTTTGATGATGAAGATATTGAGAATATGTTTAAGTGGCATGATTTTTTATATGAAATTTTATTATGGAACGATGAATTAAAGACAAGTTTTTTTTTTGTTTGTTTGTTTTTT